GCCGCGGGTCGCTCCGGCGCTGTCCAGGCGGAGCCTGCCCCGCCCGGGCTGCAGCCATGGTAAGGCAGGCGGGTGGGCGCGGGGCAGGGCCGGGGTGCGCAGGACCAGCAGCTCCCGGGCGGCTCCAAGGGGACCCGTTGCACCGCAGTCGCGGCTGTGCGGGATGGGAGGCGCCGTCACCGGCCCCGAGCATAGGCTGGCACTGCTGCCGGGCGGCGCTGCGTCGCGGCTCCCAAGTTTTCCCTCTGAGCAGCCACAGAGTGGGCCCCGACCCCTGGGTGATGCCTGCGGTCTTGAACGAAGGGGTGGGTCCGTGCTGAGGGAGGTGCCCGCCGGCGGAGACGCGTATGTTGGGCTGGGGAAGGCGCGTTAGTGATGACTGAGGTGAGGGTCCCTATGCTCGCCTGGGTCAGCTTTTACCTGAGTAACCCCTCCTCACCCACCTACCCTGGGCACCGGGGCCAGTATCAACTTCCTCTGGAAAACACAGAGGAGGCCCATAAACACTGCCTGCCTCCCTAAGAGGGATGGTGAGATGCTTGGCCCCTCCTTCCCTCAGCCTGCCAAGGGGCAGTCCCTGAGCCTTTCCCAAAGAGACCCCTGAGAGGAGGCCCAGCCCACCGTCCTGCCCGGTGGGATTAGCTAATATCTCTTTGCCCCTGGGTCAGGAACCATGGGAAAGCTTCCTCCTGCTGCACCTACCTCCTCCCTTTCCACCAGCAAGGTCCCTCCGCAGTGTGTGGGGGTGGGGGCACCCATTCCTGCCACCTGCCTCTAGTGGAAAGAGAAGCAGTAACCCCAGCCAGCCTCCCTGGAGATGCCCAGGTAGGAAGTTTTGATGCTTGGCTTAAGATGTCTTCTCTTCTCCTGATATTGTTGCTGGAGTCTGTCATAAATAATGTAAGGCTGTCAGGACCTCCAGGCCACACACCATCCTTTCCTCCCAGTCTGGAAGACCTACAGCCTTTGCCTTCTGCACTCGGGGCACAAACTGTTTATAGAAGGAGGGGATCCCTGACCAGCCTGTGGGGCGCAATGTTGGCTGCGGGCAGACTCCAGAAGGGAACTCCCTGGGCCCCCTGGGATCACAAGCTTTCAGGTCTGGAAGGGCCAACTTTTGGGCTCTTGTCTCTCAAGCTGTGTCCAGGCAGAGGCCCAAGCCTTGGCCAGGAAGTCTCGGTGACCCTGTGACCTTCCCCAAAGGGGGTTCCTGGGAGAGGCCTGTCCTTATTCCTGTCCCCCACTTCTCCCCACATGGGGGATGGAGGGACTGATTGTTCTAGGGATGGAAGCCTGGGGAAGCACTGATTGTCCCCAGTGCCAAGCCCAGCAGGGGCTAGAGGGGCTTTTTCTGCCACACACTAAGTTCAGTTCAGCTGAGGTCTTGGTGCTTTCAGCTTGTCTAAGGCCACCCTGTTCTTCTCTAATTAAAGACATCCCCCACCCCAGCCACCACCACCAAAGTCCCCATCCTCAGGCCCCTGCTCTCAAGCCAGCCAAGTTCTTAGGCTGACTGGTTCAGATCAGACTCTTCTATGAGGGTCTCTTTGTCCAAGGACATCAGTGTCCCAGCTGCTTTGGGAATCAGTGGGGAAGACCTCCCCAACCCAGATGCCCCAGGGAGTTGAAATTTACAGGCGAAAAGAATGACAGGTCAACATTAATGACCATTCTGTGACTTGAGATGCACCTTCTCTTCTCAGGTTCACCGCAGCTTAGGGTATCTGTCATCTGGGAGTGCTTTCTCTCCCCAGCCTCCCTGGGAGGCAAGGAAGGGCCATTCACAACTGACCATTAAGGTCCTGAAATTAAGATACTATCCAGACTCATAAAAGATGTTTCCTTCCAACCGGAAACAGTGGCCCCCTGACTCCTAGTTGAGTGCACACTTCTAACCAGGCCCCTTAATTTGTCTCCCACTTAAATGGCAGCTCTGAAGTTTCTGGGCTGCCAGCCTCTCATTGTCTTGAACCCATGCTCCTCAAAGACCAAGTGCTAACATCTCTCCTGTTGACACTACAGAAGCGATGGAGTGATGGAATTGATATAGGTTGCTATGAGTAGGAGGTGAGGTGTCCTAGGGTAAGGGGAGTCCCTTGAGCAAAGTCACCTCTGTGGTGGGGCTCCCTGCAGGGAAATCTAGGAGCAGATTTCTGAAGACAGTGAGGTTCCCCGCTGGAAAAAAAGAAAGGGACACTTGGGAAGAAGTGTGAGGCCATTCCCACAAAAATCTATACGGGGGATTACAGGGCATCTCGTCCTACTCCAGCACTGCTTAAAGTTAAGGTGAAAGAAAGAGATTGGGGGATTGAAATCCTTTGGGAATGGGTATCCTGGGTGGCTGTCCTCAAGTGCTGATGGGCCGGGTCACTTGGGGACAGCTCATAGTCCTCAGGCAGACCACGGTGTCCTTGGGGGTTAACAGGAGAGGTCAAATGGATCAAGAGCCTGTGCTGCAGGCAGACATTGGGAGGTTGGTGCTGTGCCCACCAGGGTAGGCAGCGGGCAGGCGTCATGGGGCAGCCAATCAGAGGAGGAGGGGACTGCAGAGGAACCAAGTGATCCTGCTGCAGCTGAGCTGTCCTTGGACGGTGGGAGCCAAGGGAAGGGGAGGAGGAGAGGGGGTGGGGAAGGACATTCCACAGGCTTTTTTGGCCCCTGCCAGAGACAGAAGGGGGTCACAGAGAAAAGGAAAGGAGCAAGCCAGGAAGCCAGACAACAAGAGCATCAAAACAAGGCTGTTTCTGTGTATGAGGAACTTTGCCTGGGAGATAAAATTAGACCTAGAGCTTGCTGACAGGGAGTCTGAAGCGTGGGACATGGACCGTTCACTGGGATGGCAAGGGAATTCTGTCCCTGAGGACAGGACTGAAGCTGGGGTAAGGTGCTGCTCTGGGAGATGGGTGGACCTGACCTGTCTTCTCCCTGCCTTGGATGGGATTGGGGCTCAAAGTCAGAAAATGATTTGGTCACTGGCAGAGCTGGGGGGTGGGGATGTGCAGGCAGGAGGCGAGGACCCTAGCATCCTGATTCCTAGTCTAGAGCCCCTTTGGCCTCCTCCATGCGGATGAGCAGCCAGGGCTGGCAGAGATGAGGATGGTGCTGGGTTCCTGGAGGCTCTGCTGGAAGATCGTGGGGGCTAGGGATCTTCATTAGTGCCTTCCTTTCTCCCTTCCCCGCCCCTCCACTCAGTGTCCCTGAGTGAAACCAGGTGAAGCACAGCTTTCTCTCTCCCACCCTTGTCCTGATCCCCAGACCAACTGCTGGGTCATTGTGGATTTGTGCAGAGAGGCAGGATTTCCTGGAATTCCCCAGACTTATTAGCTGCCAGACAACAAGAGCTGCTGCCCCCAAGTTCCACCCTTTTTCTGTTGTCATATAATTAATTGTCTAAGCTGGGACATTTTTGAGAGTGAAAGGGCACAACTAATCATGATGTCAGGACAACAGGCATAAACTGGGATGTATGGTCGCCACTGGACCTTACAAATGTCATAGGTAAGAAAAGCCCTGGGTTAGGCTGGCCTCAGGACACCTTCTTCTAGTCACCTAGCCTCCACCTGCTGGTTCCAGTTTTGGGATAAGGGGTCTCTTTTCCTCCCCTCTGTCCAGGTGAGCACTGGAAACTATGGCTATAAGCAGGTGTGAGGACTTGAGAGGCGACAACCTGGAAGTAGCTCCTAGCAGACTTTTCCCTCTAACCTCCCTATCTCAACCTCTTCCCTCTAGCATATACCTGTCAGTGTACATATCTGCCTCCCTCAAGTCTTCCCTTTGCAGGAAGACTGTGGCCATCTTATCTCCCCAACTCTAGCTGGGACTCCACAGTGGTCTGGGGTAGTCCCCACTAGCTTGGCTAACCCCCAGAGAGTGAGTCAGTTTCTGCAGCTGGCCCTTGTCCATTGTCTGGGGGTGGCACGTGGGTATTGTGAGGCAGAGCTGAACCCAGCACTGCCAGGCACCCCACAAAGGAGGCTGACCCCCAAAGGAGAGGAGAATCTTTAGGGTCTAGAGCTGACAATGAGAGTTGGGGGAAATGGTCCCTCTTCTGAGCTGGGGATAGGGTAGAACAGGCTTCTACAGAGGAGTCAGACCATTCTCTGCCTACCACCCACTGTGGGTCATGGTTTAGGCCACACCCTCTCCTTACTGCTGGCTCTGGGAAGAGGGGTAAGGAAACAACTGAGGGTGCTTCCCCTTATATGTCTCTCACAGTTGGGGGCTGTCAGAAGCTCTGGAGGCCCAGCCATCCTTCAGTCTTCCCCAGGCTCTTCCATCCTCCCTTAACTGGTCCCAGCTGCCTTCCACCCACAGTCAGCATCCACTGGCAGATTTACTCTTCTCTCCCAGGGCCCAGGGTCAGATTCGGGTGTGGCTCAGTGTCTGAAGTAAGGGGTAGGATCAGCTATATTGAGCACTGGGCAGTGAACCTTGGGGATTGAGCACTGGCAGTAGTCACTGACCAGTAGTGACAGGAAGCACAGAACCCCCTGCTGGTTGACTTGCCTGGCACAGGCAGCTCTCTTCTCTCCTACCTACTTCCCTCATCCCCTGCCCCATTCTGACGCTCTGTACCCTCCTTTTGGGTTTAATGCCTCTGTCTGCTCTAAATCAGTCTGGCCTTACTTCCTGGCCTGAGACAGTCCCTGGCTAGGCCAGAACCTGAGGAAAGGCAGTCTCAAAAAACATGCTGCTGAGAGGGAGACCAGAACTGGAGTTCCTCAGTTCTCAAGAGCAGTTGTCAGGGATTTGGGGGTGCCCAGGGCTCTTCCTGGACCCTGGGGCCCTTCTTGGCATCTTGGATTGGGGAGGCTTATGAGCAGGTGAGGGAGGGATGGTGAGCACCTCCTCTGGCTTGGCTGCAGTTTCTTTCTCTTCTAACCACAAGTGCTTTCCCTTTCCCTCTTGCCTTCTCCTGTCTTCCGTCTCCTTCCTCATTCTTCCCTTCCCACTCCCTTCCCATCATCTCCTACCTATTCCACTCACCCCACTTCCCCCAGATCAAGCGTTTCCTGGAGGACACCACAGATGATGGAGAACTGAGCAAGTTCGTGAAGGATTTCTCAGGAAGCGAGAGCTGCCACCCACCAGAGGCTAAGACCTGGGCATCCAGGCCCCAAGTCCTGGAGCCAAGGCCCCAGGCCCCAGACCTCTATGATGATGACCTGGAGTTCAGACCCCCCTCGTGGCCCCAGTCCTCTGACAGCCAGCAGTACTTCTGTGCCCCAGCCCCTCTCAGCCCATCTGCCAGGCCCCGCAGCCCATGGGGCAAGCTTGATCCCTATGATTCTTCTGAGGTAGAGCCCCCAGCGCTGCCTTTGCCTTTCAGTGGGCTGCTGCAGGAAGACCAGGGTGGTGTGTGTGTGTGTGTGTGTGTGTGTGTGTGTGTGTGTGTGTGTATCTGAGACCTTTTTCAGTCCTGTGTTAGCCCTAGCTCTGTGATATCTGCCCCCAAGGGCATTGGAAACTAACAGTTTCAGCAATGGCAGGAGGCTTAGTTGGTGGCCTGAAATAGGAGCTCACAGGAATCTGGCACTGCTTCTTAAAGGCTGGGGGCAAAGACCTGAAAGGGAGAGAAGATCAGTGCTGGGTGCCAGGGCCCCTTCAGCTCCTCGTCCTGATGCATTCTGCCTTCCTGTCTACTAGGATGACAAGGAATATGTGGGCTTTGCAACCCTCCCCAACCAAGTCCACCGAAAGTCCGTGAAGAAAGGCTTTGACTTTACTCTCATGGTGGCAGGTAGAAAAGGGGCAGGGCTGGGTTGGGCAGGGTGTGTTTCAGGTGGGGATGGTGTGTGTGTCCATGAGTGGGAAGGGAGTATAGGTCGAAAGGAGCAAGCAGTGAGTGGCTGTGCTGTTTTGCAAAATAGCCAGGAGTTGTTGGCCTCTGAGAGTGTATGTATGTGGGGTGGGTTTGGGGTGGGGGGAAAATTGGTTGCAAAGAACGTTTGACCAACAGTTTTCTAGTATTTGCCTCTTTTTGTGTGACCTTGAACAATCTCTTTCTCTTCCCAAGCCAATTTCTGTGCTTCCTTCAAGCTCTAAAATACTATAGTTAGTCTAGTTCCGATTAGCTAAGAAAGCAGTTTCCTCTAAACCTTAATCCAGTGGAGTTGCTTTTTGGCTATAGATCTTACCTTCTGATTTGGTGCCTCTGTCCTCTCTCCTCTCAGGAGAGTCTGGCCTGGGCAAATCTACACTTGTCAATAGCCTCTTCCTCACTGATCTGTACCGGGACCGGAAACTCCTTGGTGCTGAAGGTAAGGAAAGGAGAGGACAATCAGGCAGACTTGTCTTGGGAAATTAAACTCACTCCAGAGTCTGGGGGATGGGCCTCTCCCCCACATGCTGGAAACCATGGCTTCCTAGAGACACTGACAGCAGCTCTCCATAGGCCTATCTGCCTGGCAGCCCACCAGCTAGCTCCCTAAAGATTTGGGTGCTGAAGCAGGGCAGGGATCAGAGTCTTGCTCTCTGAATGAGTCTCTGACCCCTAAGGATTCCAGGAATCCAAAAAAAAAAAAAAAAAAAACGGGATCAGAGAAGAGGCTGGGGCCAGAGCCAACAGCCACCGGCATTTCCTGTGTTGGGAAATGTACTCCTTGCTGGTTCCCAGGGAACAGTCCCCCAGGCAGCTTGGGGGTGGAGGGGGGACAATGTGGATGAGGCAGTCTGGGCAACAAGGCTGTTTGGGGTGGGCGGCTCATCCTGACTGGGCAGGTCCCTGCCCTTGCCCTGGCCTCAGTTTCCCCCTTCTCCAGAGCGGATCATGCAAACTGTGGAGATCACTAAGCATGCAGTGGACATAGAAGAGAAGGGTGTAAGGCTGCGGCTCACCATTGTGGACACACCAGGTTTTGGGGATGCAGTCAACAACACAGAGTGGTATGTCTGACTAAGCACAATTCCAGCTGCCCCTGAGCTACCCTTCTCCATACGCACACAGATATACATATAGGCCCAGATATATTCATACTTATCAGGAGGAAGAGGTCTATGACCTTGAGCATGTAACTTCCCTTACTTGACAGCGACCCCCTCCTTTATAAAGTAAGAGGAAAAGGATTGCAGTAGGTGACTTCTAATGTTCCTTCCAGTTCTGCCCTGTGATTCTTTAAGGGGTAGGGACATAAGAAAGAAGAGGCTGAGGCAGAAGGATCACTTGAGGCCAGGAGTTCAAGGCCAGCCTGGGCAACATAGTGAGATGCCATTTCTACAAAAGTTTAAAAAATTAGCCGGGCATGGTGGCATGGGCCTATAGTCTCAGCTACTGGGGAGGCTGAGGCAGGAGAATCACTTAGCTCAGGAGGTCGAGGCTGCAGTGAGCCGTGATCACACCACTGCACTCTAGCCTGGAAGACAGAGCGAGACCAAAAAAAAAAAAAAAGAAGGAAAAAAAAACAACAGATAAGAAAGAAGAGCCTCAAAAAGCAAACACATGTGAAGTGTGAAAACATGTAGGACAGAGTTTGATTACATAGTAGATGCTCAATAAACTCACAGTTTTTCCTTTAACTAGCAACATTTTAGGTGCCACAAACAAGGGTACCTAAATGTTGAAGGGCTGGTCATGCATGGAGGGAGGGTAAAGGTGAGGAAGAATAGGCAAAGGGGAAAAATGGTGGAACTTTGTTTAAACTCCAGGTACCTTCTAGGCTACCTGCTGAAAGAAAAGCTGGCTTTACCACAACCCCCTATCATTTGGGCTTTTTTATTTTTCAGGTGCTAGAGGGATGCTTAGCTAATGGTCAGACCTAAGTGAGTAGATGAAGCGGGGAATTGATGAGATTGACAGGAGAAAAGGTGGTACCTTTAATGAAGAAGTTAGGCAGGTGGTGCTAAGAGCCCTAGACAGAGAGTTCAAATCTTGATTGGCATTTAGTAACTTCATGATCTTCAGCAAATGATCTTCTTAAATCAGTTTACCTACTGTCTCTTACCTTCCATAATACTAATAATTTCATTTCCAGGCACCTCACAGTTTAAAGTGCACCTCCATATATACTCATTTTGTCAGACATTTATTTAATTAAAACATGCCAGCCCTTAACTACCTCTCCAATTGATCTGAACATCACCCAGCATGATGCATGCACACTCAAGAGTGCAAAGGGCTATTTACAGCATACTCATGAATTTTAACAATGATAATTGCAGGACCAGCAACATAATTTGTTGGGCCCAGTGCAAATGAAAATGTAGGGTTCTTTGTTCAAAATTTTTAAGAATTTCAGAACTTTGGCAAGAGCAAAGCATCGAATCAGCTAGAATGTATTGAGCACATACTAGATGTCCAGCCTGTGCTGAACATTTTAAGGGATTTAGAACAGGCATGAATGATTCCTATCCCTGAGAGGCTTATAGTCAAGTGGCAACAGGGAAGCGGGGGAGGTGGGGGCAGCTCTCTAACATGTTTCAATCAGATAGCAACTTAAATTAGTAAATGGGTCAGGCAATGTGTAGTGGCAAATGCACTGAGCTGTAGAGGCTCAGATGGGTAGAGAATTTACTAGCTAAATGACCTAGAGCAAGTCCTCTTCCCCCTCTTTTTTTTCTTTGACACAGGTTCTCACTGTATTGCCCAGGCTGGAGTGCAGTGGCCTGATCAACCACCTCCCTAGGCTCCCTGGGCTCAGGTTATCCTCCCACCTCAACCTCCCAAGTAGCTGGGACTATAGGTGTATGCCAGCTAATTTTTTTGTAGTTTTTTGTAGATGGGGGTCTAGCTATATTGCCCAGTCTGATGTTGAACTCCTGGGCTCAAGTGATCCGCCTACCTTAGCCTCCCAAAGTGCTAGAATTACAGGCGTGAACTACCACATCTGGCCTGGAACAAGTCTGTTAGCTGCTCTGGATTTTCTTCATGTATGAAATGAGAGTGATGGTGATCATAATGCCTAATGTCCACCTGTGAGGGCAATGAGGATTAAACAAGATAATAGAAGAGCAAAGGATTTGAAATTGAGGTTCTTGGGGAAATTTATTAATTTATTTATTTGTTTTGCTTTGTAGTGAAGAGAAGGAGAGAGGTATAGTCAAAGAAGCCTTCATGGAAGAGGTGGTTCTTACGGGTTTGAAGGATAGAATGGGTTTGGAGAGGTAGAGGAGAGGGTAGAAACACATGAGCAAAAAGGCTCTGAGGTTAGACTGGAAACCTGACTTAGGGTTTCCCTGGCTTCCAGTTGGTGTTTGCCTGCAGCCCTACCTTGCTATTTTTTTTTTTTTTTTTGAGACAGTCTGACTCCATTGCCCAGGCTGGAGTGGCATGATCTTGGCTCGCTGCAACTTCCACCTCCTGGATTCAAGTGATTCTCCTGCCTTAGACTCCCAAGTAGCTGGGACTATAGGTGCACACCACCCACACCCAGCTACATTTTGTATTTTTAGTGGAGACAGGGTTTCATCATGTTGGTCAGGCTGGTCTCAAACTCCTGACCTCAAGTGATCCGCCCTCCTCGGCCTCCCAAAGTGCTGAGATTACAGGCGTGAGCCACCACGCCCGGCCTATTCTTACTCTTTTGTTTGATCACCTGGGCCCTTTCCCTGTCATCAAACTAGTATTTATTAAACTCTGCCTGAGTACTCAGGCTTTTGTATCAAGACATGAGATATACACCATCCCATTCAGGAATTTCCGTGAAGATTTGGTAAAGCAAGCCAGGGAATAACAATGTCTTGAAAACACTGCTCAGGGTGTGGGCTACTTCTCTGTAGTCCCAAAGCTCACTAGATGGCGCCCACTCTCACAGTTTCTCTGCTTGTCTGTCCCTGCCCCAGCTGGAAGCCTGTGGCAGAATACATTGATCAGCAGTTTGAGCAGTATTTCCGAGATGAGAGTGGCCTGAACCGAAAGAACATCCAAGACAACAGGGTGCACTGCTGCCTGTACTTCATCTCACCCTTCGGCCACGGGTATGGTCCAAGCCTGAGGCTCCTGGCACCACCGGGTGCTGTCAAGGGAACAGGCCAAGAGCACCAGGGGCAGGGCTGCCACTAGCAGGTGGTCACAGATTCCTGTTCCCCAGGCTCCGGCCATTGGATGTTGAATTCATGAAGGCCCTGCATCAGCGGGTCAACATCGTGCCTATCCTAGCTAAGGCGGACACACTGACACCTCCTGAAGTGGACTGCAAGAAACGCAAAGTGAGAGAAGCTGGTGATGGGAGGGGATCAGGTGGGCTTCTAGAAAGGATGTGGTCCCCAGAACTGTGGGCCCTTCATCTGTTTGCCAGATCCGGGAGGAGATTGAGCGCTTTGGAATCAAGATCTATCAATTCCCAGACTGTGACTCTGATGAGGATGAGGACTTCAAATTGCAGGATCAAGCCCTAAAGGTGGGGCCACTCTAGGGCATCCCCTTCCCATCTTGTTTCTTCTGGGTGGAAAAAGGGAGTAGAATTCTATATTCAGGCTATCAGGGTGGGAAAGGACCCTGGCTTCCTAGAGTGAAGCAGAGAAGATGACAATACAGGTGGAAAGAAACAGGTGAGAACAGAGGGTGTTGACAGGCACCCCTAACCTCTTCCAGGAAAGCATCCCATTTGCAGTCATTGGCAGCAACACTGTAGTAGAGGCCAGAGGGCGGCGAGTTCGGGGTCGACTCTACCCCTGGGGCATCGTGGAAGGTAAAGCACTGAGCCTGTGACCAGGGTATCTCCTTGCCCCTCAGTGGCTCTCTCCTACCTATGCCTCTGGCTGACCCCTAGCCTTGCTATGCAGTGGAAAACCCAGGTCACTGCGACTTTGTGAAGCTGAGGACAATGCTGGTGCGTACCCACATGCAGGACCTGAAGGATGTGACGCGGGAGACACATTATGAGAACTACCGGGCACAGTGCATCCAGAGCATGACCCGCCTGGTGGTGAAGGAACGGAATCGCAAGTATGACCAGAAGCCAGGACAAAGGTGGCAGGGGGGATCCCAAGCCTAGCCTTGGGTGAGACCAAACCTTTCTTTTGTTCTTCTATAGGCCCTGGGCTCAATCTAAGTGGGTACTAGGGTCCTCCTAGCCTTACCAACCCTTCTCTCCTCTTAGCAAACTGACTCGAGAGAGTGGTACCGACTTCCCCATCCCTGCTGTCCCACCAGGGACAGATCCAGAAACTGAGAAGCTTATCCGAGAGAAAGATGAGGAGGTGAGAGCAGTATGGGGTATAGGGGAGGTCCCCTGTTTGATCATCAACATTGGTATCTCTTGGTTTGGTAATAGAAAGATCCCTGGCTCTGGTGCCTATTTGGGTCCTGGATAGGTCAATAGGTGGTTCTGTCCAGGGTCTCCATCACACCTCAGGGCTACCAAGGTCCTGGCGTAAGGGATTAGAAATTTGGGGCACTTCCCCAATACTAAAGGACTCTCCAAAAAGGCCCATTTTGATGCCTATGCCTATTCCAGCTGCGGCGGATGCAGGAGATGCTACACAAAATACAAAAACAGATGAAGGAGACCCATTAACTGGCTTTCAGCCCTGGATATTTAAATCTCTTCCTCTTCTTCCTGTCCATGTCGGCCCCTCCCAGCACCAGCTCTGCTCAGGCCCCTTCAGCTACTGCCACTTCGCCTTACATCCCTGCTGACTGCCCAGAGACTCAGAGGAAATAAAGTTTAATAAATCTGTAGGTGGCTTCTGGTGTCCCTGTGTGTATCTTTATGACCTCCTGGAGACCAAGATCCTGGGACCCAGTTTTGAAAGGCTAATGGTAGATGTTGGTTTCTGGCTTTTAGTAGGGAAGGGAAAGTGGGGAAAACTTTCCAGTTTGTTTCCCCTTCTTAGTCTCTGCTTAGAATCCAGTCTGGCTTCTCCATCTTAATGACCATATCTAACCTGCCTGTATTATCTGGGGTTTGGGTCTCTCTCCATCTTTCCCACATACATACCTTTAATTCTGCAGCAGTTTTGGATTTCATATCTGCCCTTGGGAAAACGCAAGGTATTAACTGTGTGCAACTTCCTGACTTTCTATTTCTCCTGATCTGGGAAAAGGAATAGGCAGGTTAAGCTCTACACTGTAAAAAACCTGTGAAAGAGCTTTAAACAAATGCTGCAGCCACTGTAATCACCAAACACTATAGTAAGTGCTGGGAATGAATAAAAACACAATCATTGTCCTACAGGAGTTCAGTATTTAATTAAAATTTTTACAGCATCTGCTAGATTGCAGACTGTTCTGGACCCTGGAGTTAAAAGTAGTGCAGAGTTCTCGTCTTCCTGGAACTTACCAACTGTACTGAAGTTTCAGTGTTCTATAAACAAAGAGAGGTGAGGACCCATTAGCCCCGGGCTTGGTATTAAAGCGCTCAGGCCCACTCCAGACCTGAGAATATTAGCTGAGAATCTGAATCAACTGTTTTCCATTTCTGTCGGTTGCTGGTGTCGCGGGTCCACGGCGACCTCCAGCGGCCACCCTCCGTCTTGTGGTCTTTTCTGGGTCCCCGGGAAAGAAAGAAAGGGAGGGGCGATAAGTCGGGTCCTTGGGAGCGTCCTGGTCTCCCTTCCCTTTACAGACTAGGAGGCCGCAGCTAGTTACTGGCAGTCTCAGATCCAGATTTTCCATCTCTTGGGTGAGAGTTCTTCACTCAGGACTAGCAGCACAATGCGGGTTGTGAAGAACGGCAGGGTCGTTTATCGATACAAAGTGAGTGTTCGAGGAACCCAACCAGACAGAGGAAGGGGGAAATCCCAGCCAGTAGGAGATGACCAAGACAGAACCTCAGGCCTAGCCCTCCCTTCTCTCCTAGCCTGCAGGTTTTTCTCCTATTCTGGCGTTGGGACCGGATGACAGCAGCGAAACCAAAACGGGAATGGATAAACTGAGGTGCCACTGGGGATCTGTTTGAGAAGGACCTCCAGGGCGGGGCCATCACCGGAAGTGGCTTAAGGCTTGTACCCTACAATGCCCGCCTCTAATTGCGCTACCAGTAGACGACTAGCCGCCCTCACTTCCGGTCCCCAGAGCTGTAGCCGGCAGCCCCCTCTTTACTGCTCTCCTATTGGCTACCGCAAGGACGCGCTGTGATTTCCCATTGGTCGCGTCTCATCTCCGGCGCCGCGCCTCCTCCCTCCAGGTATAGGCTTGTCTTCCGGCATCCGATTGGCTTAAGGCTGGGAGGGCGTCTGCCCGTCTCGACCAATGAGTGGCGTCGAGAGTGAGGGCGGTGGCTGCGTGATGGGGGCAGGGCGGGACTTGGCGTGGCTATTGGCCAGGGCGGGCACAGGCTGGGGATATAATTGGTTGAGGAGAAGAGCACCGTGGTGGGGTCGGGACGGCGCGGCCTCAGCAGCTGCGGGAGACGGAAGTGGCTAGAGCGCGGCCTCGGAGGGTCGGGCGGACGCCGCCTGGGTGAGTCACCGTGCCCCTTGCACTGAGAGCCTAGGAACCGCAGCGACCACGTCTTGCCCGGCTCCGCCCTGGCCCCCACCGGCTTTCCTGAGTCCCGCCTTCTGTCATTTGGGGCTCCGCCTCCGAGTCTTTAGGCTCCGCCCCTAGAACCTGGGCACCTGGGCTCCCTTGCCAACCTGGCCCGCCCCCCGGGACCAGATCTCCTAGGCCTGAAAACTCTGGGCCTTCTAGGCCTGATCCTTGTCCTTCCTACCCTCCCTTCATTCCCTGGGGCTGCGTGCCAGTGGGCGGTGAGGCAGCACCTCTGGCTTGCCTCTTGCGGGTTCCCGCATGAGGGAAAGTGGTCTAGGGAAGAGGGTACTGTGAACAGGGAGGTGGGCAGGACCACAGATGGAGGCTTTTATCCCCGCAGTCTCCCATAGGGCTCTGCTGTACTGCCCCTGAGGATAGCAGGCATGAAGGAAAGTGTCAGTGAAACCTGGGCCTGGCTTCCTAAGTAAGCCTAGGAGGCTCCATCCTGAAATCCCTGTTACTTGGGCTCATTGGACAGATGCTGACTCCAAGGCCTGAATTGGCCTGATTCTATTCCTGTTGTGTGGGCTCCTTTCCATAACCTCCACACAACTTGGTGTCAAGTACAGTCAGCAGGACCTGCGCCTGTGCAGCCCTGCTGCCCTCTGATCACAGGTTGTGGTCCCCCCCCCACGCTTGTCCCACTTTGGACTCTGCCCCCAGTAAACAGGTCAGGTAGGTACTACTCCGAGACTCAGAGACTGGCAAAATATTCCTGTGGATTCATGCCCCTTCAGCCACTGCCACTTTGCCCAAAGATTCAGGGCCCAAAATGAGCCCCAGTTGGGCAGCCTTTGTCTCTTCAGAGTTGGCAATTCTACTGCCCCGCAAAGAAGTGTCCTCCCTCTGTATCTGGGAATCAGGACTCCTGAGTTCTGGTGAATAATCTTGGATGACACTCATTCCTGCTCCAGAACCTCGTGTCTGACTTTATGCCCTGCAGGATCACTTGTTGCTTTCTCCCTACGTAGCTCCCATTGCCTCTCTCTGGTACAGTGACTTGTGGAGAGACTAGGGTCTCTGCGAGGGAGAAGAATATGTTGTAGAGAAGGTCAGAGGTAGATGGGTAGCATTTGTTGACTCTATGGTAATGTTGATGGGGCTCTTTACTTTTATGTTCCTCTGTCTTCTTACAGTGAGAAGCAGGCAGCCAGGACCCTTGCCACGGTAGAATGGTGAGTACTCTTTCTTTCCTCAGGCCATTGTGTTTTCTGTCATCCCTGCGTCTTTCTCTGTGAAGCTGCCCCACCTCTCCTAGACCTTGAGCTCCAGGCTACCCTGTTCAGCTCCTAAACAGGTTCATCTGCCCTGGAGATAAATTAGGGTTTCTTCAGATTGCAAAACACTAGCCAGTATTCAGCACTGGGACTGGAAGCTTCTAGAAATCTTTTTCTGCATGTGCTATGCCTCACACTTTCCTCACACTACCTGCCCACACTGGCTCTATTAACCCTTCATAACAGCCCTCCTCTTTTTTTCTTGCGTCCCCGGTAGGATCTCTGTGTTCTGGTCTGAAAAGCCAGGCCTTCTTTATGTCAGGATCCTTGGACTTCTGGTGGGTCCTTTGAATATTGTGGATGCTATATCAGGAGTGACTCCACCAAAACTGTGGGGCTTCTCCAGCTCCAGGGCGCTGCTGTTAAGCCACTACAGGTAACAGCTGACTGAATGTCTATCAGGATAGCATCTTCAGGGTGCCCAGAATATCACTAGAGGTAGTTTACAATGATCCTGTGAATTTTCCATTAATTGTAACTGCCCTTCTCTCACCCCAAGTCTAGGGAACACCATAATTCCTGAGAGCTAGGAGGAGGCAGTGAGATGGGAAAGGCCTAGAGAGCTGTAGGCCCTGGCTCAGAGCAGGCCCTTAACCTGGTGGTATCTCTTCAGTTTCTTTTAGGTGTCCCTTGTGCTTAGCGGCAGGTTAAGGAATTCAGTAGATGAGAGGATTTCCTCCTTCCCTCCCTTCCTTCCATAGACATGTGGATTTGGTGTGTGCATTATTGGTTCGGTCTCTTCTCAGAAAGCCTGCTGGTTTGGGCCCCCATGAAGAGATTGCTCCTCTTTTCTCTTCTGGGATACCGTGAAAAGAGCATTGGCTTCAGAGTCAGCTTCATTTAATTTCAAATCCTAGCACACCACTTAGGTAAATTGTATACTTTCTCTCTAAGCTTAAGTTTCACCAGTAAGACAGGATAAGGTTTACTTCTTGAGGGGTTGAAAAGTTTTAGTGAGATAATGTTAGAAACTGCCTGACTCATTGCAGATGCTTAATAAAATGTCAGGTTTTCTTTTATTCCTCCCTTCTTCCCCAGACGAGACAAAATCCCTGGTGTCTGAAAGTTACCAGGTGCAGGAAGTTTGGGGTTCCAGCAAGCTCCCTCTGTGACTCTTGGTGATATTTTGAGCCCCTTCGTCCTGCTCCTTATTCCTTGGCCCTCTACCCAACTCTCTCTACTCCCCTGCTCCTGAGTTTCAAGTTTCATTTTTGTATAACTTCTGTGGTCCATACTTCCAGCTCTTCTCCTTCCCAGACTAAGAAATCCTTTCTCCTTGAAGAAGGACTTTCTTACCCAGAGATCAGAATGTGAAACAAGGGAGAGATGGAGCTGAAGGAGTTGGATTTGGTAGGGGTATTGGAATAAAAAGCTCATTTCCCTTTCCAGGAGCGTGGAATGACTAACCTGGCACCATTCTAAGGGGAAAGAAGGGTTTAGCCAAGTCACAGGATTGAAGGACCCTGATGGGCAGGGGCATGGTGGGTAGTGGTTTTGGAGTGAAAGGAGGAAGCAAATGGGTTGTGGGTAGGTGAGCTCCACCTTGGGATCCAGAGCAGGTGTCGGGTGAACTTAGAGAGGAGGAGAGGGCATGGGGATGGGTTTCTAAGGGGGCATGGGGTGGCCCACCTGGGAAAAAGGTAAATGAGAAGATGTAGGCGGTCTTGTTTTCTGTTCCAAGCCGTCTGTCTGGGCGGTCCCACAGCCCAGGTTCCTGAAAGCCCCTAAAGGTCCCTGGAGTGGAGTACGCCCTCGGACAAGGCCCAGGGTCCGCGGGGAGGGAGGAGCCTGAGGCTGTGGGTGGGGCTCGCGGAGCCGCCCCGCCCCTGCCTCCGCCTTCCTTCCGCGTCCCGGGCTCTCCCCTCGCCCAGCTCCCCTCCCTTCCGTGCTCGTGCTGGAGGGCGGAGCTGGGCCAGCTCCATTGTGAAAAGGAGGGGAGAGGCGTGCGGGAGCTGTGCTGAGGGCCCGCCACCAGCGCCCTCACCTCCTGGCCACCGCGGCTGCACCTGGCGGTCCCTGCAGCCGGGATGCAGCGGGCGCCCGGGGCTGGCGGGCAGCGCAGCGGCTCCGGGGGCATGTGCGCTGGCCCAGACCGCCCGTGACCATGAGCCTGACCGCCCGCGTCTCCTGCTCCATGCTTAGCTGCTTCGTAAGTGCTCACCCTGCCTTTGGGTGCCTAGGAGACCAACGCTTGCTTGCGCCCACAGCCTCGCCCAGGGTCAGCCCTCGATTTCAGCCCATCCCCCTTCCCAAGGCCCCTGGCCCGACCCCGAACGTTTAGTGGCAGGGATGGTGGGTTAACTCTTTTATTTCTTGGACTGGCTTCAATCTTTGGGTGCCGGGGATGGTCGAAGGCCAGGAATGGAAATTCTGTGGTCCATCCCGGCCCCGCAGCCACTGCCCTTGACTGCAGATCTCCAGGCCCCGCCCTGCGGGGGTACATCCCTTTACCTCCGCCTCTCCATCTTGGTCCCACCCGCTGTATCCTTGCTTGGGGATGTGGGATGTGGCCAGTAGGCTGCGTGGGATGTTAGGGGGGCTGGTCAGGGAGCGCGGGATGTTCTGTGAGCTGGCTTGGGGCTCCAGTCCCTTCTCTCTTCCACCACTCCATCCCTCACCTGACATGCCAGCCTTTTCTCCTTGACTGTCCCCAGACAGCCTCTCTTCTCCATCTTCCCTGCCTCTGCAGGGTTCCTTACCTCTGCATCATCCCCGGTCCTCCCCTCCTCCCGCGCTGGCTGATGCTCCTTCCCAGCTTCCCCCATCTGTCCTCTCAGCTGTCCCCCCCTTCCCCGTGGGTGTCTGCCAGGCCTCCTCTCTCTCTCTCCCCTGGCTGTCCTTGGGTCTCCTGGCTCCTCCCAGGCCCGTGGATCCCCTCTGGTCCCCTCCCTGGTGGTTGGGCGGGGAGTTCCTTCTTCTTGCCGTGGGTATTCCTCAGGAATTCCCCTCTGATTAGCAGGCAGAGCAGGTTACTTGGCAGGTAATGGGGGCTTGTCAGCAGTGTGGGCCTAACAAGAAGATAAGCCCAGCTCCCAAACACATCTTCCTTTTGAAAGCATCAGTGAAGGCCCTCTAGAGGCGTGGGACTGAATCCCCCCACCCACTCCTCTTTGTCTCCCTCACCCACCAGATTGAAGCTTCAGTGGCTACAGGGGCCTGATTTCCTTCCTCCCTATAACCAGCTGCCACACCTGGCTCCTTTTCCTCAGGACAGCACTTTCCCATCCCCATTCCTGCCTTACCCTTACATGGGTCTAAGGAAAAGAGTCTTTCTTTTTCTTAGTTTTCTCTCCTCCATTTTTGAAATGTTGGTTGCATAGTAGAGTCCCTCTTTGAAGAGTGCAGGTTCCCAATTCCTCCTGGGGCCTCACTCTTTCCTTAGGCTTAATAGGCTTGAGTACTCTCTCCATTTCACCCTTACCTGTCTCCAACCAAGGCAGATCTCTTTTCCCTCCTCTGGTGACCAGAACCTTTAGAGGTGTGTGTGTGGTTGTCTGTGGATTTCTTGGTGGGGGAGGGGAGCAGAATGAACCTCATGGGCTAAGCAGAGCTTGGTGACTTAGAACTGTGGCCTTCCTACAGGGTGAGGAGGGGCCCCCCAGCCTGGAGTACATCCAAGCCAAGGATCTGTTCCCCCCCAAGGAACTAGTGAAGGAGGAGGAGAATCTTCAGGTAAGGAGGAGTTGGGGGCCAGGGTAGATGGAGCTTCCTGCCCAGTTAAAAAAATATCCTCCCTTCCCCCAAATATCTTCAAGGGGATCTGGTACCGGAGCTCTGGCTTCCTGCTTTGTGGTCTCTGGAGGAGGAGGGTTTGTCTGTGTATCCTGGAGCTGTTGGCCCCAGGGAAGGAAAGACAGCTTTCCTCTACAGCTGTTGCCTGGTGCTCTCACTGTGAAGAGTACTCTCCTCTCCTGCCTTGGTCCACCATTTCCAGAGCTTTTCCAGAGGGGGTTCCACAGAGCAGGGGCTGTAGAGGAGGATGAGGTGGTCCCTCATTTCTGGACTGAGGGTTTCTCTGCCCCTTGACAGATCCCCTTCACAGTGCTGCAGGGTGAGGGAGTAGAGTTCCTGGGCCGGGCAGCCGATGCCCTCATTGCCATCTCTAACTACCGGCTGCATATCAAATTCAAGGACTCTGTCATCAACGTGAGTTTCTGTATTGTTCTCCTACCCCTAAGCTAAAATCCCTGTGAAGTTCAAGGTGGGATTATTCCAAAGCTCTCCTTGATCATGTCTTTAAAAAAGTTGGAGGCTGGGCATGGTGGCTCATGCCTGTAATCCCAGCACTTTGGGAGGCCAAGGCAGGCAGATCACTTGAGGTCAGGAGTTCAAGACCAGCCTGGCCAACATAGTAAAACTCTGTTTCTACTAAAAATACAAAAATTAGCCGGGCTTGGTGATGCGCACCTGTAGCTCCAACTACTTGGGAGACTGAGGTACAGGAATTGCTTGAACCCAGGAGTCAGACGTTGCAGTGAGCTGAGATTGTGCCACTGCACTCCAGCCTGGGTGACAGAGTGAGAAAACGCCTCAAAAAATAAAAAATATATAAAAAGTTGGGGCTCCCTTCTCTTTCTCTCTGACCTCATGTTTTCCGGCCTTATTTTCCTAGCTATAGCTCTATTTCTGGCTCATTCTCTTTTCTCCTGTCTTTCCATTATTTGATCACTGGCCCTTCTAAGGAGCATGGTGGCATTGTTGGAAGAGCACAGGCTTTGGAGTCAGCCAAACCTGGGCTCTTTTCTTGCATTGCCACTCACCGGCTGGGTGACCGTGGTCAAGTCACCTAACTGAGGCTGATTTTTCTCTTCAATAATATGGGCTGAAAACACCTGCCCTGAAGGGTTATTGGGATCACATATGCAGAGGACTTTGTCCAGTTACCAGGTGCTTAACAGGCCCTCAGTAAATGTCAGTTTCCTTCCTGCTATTGATACATCAGTGCCTAGGCTGGGGTGAGGGTAAGGAGTGGTGCCCAGTGAAGGGTCTGAGCTTTAGTTTGCCCTTCCTCTAAAGGTCCCCCTCCGGATGATTGACAGTGTGGAGAGCCGTGATATGTTCCAGTTACACATTTCCTGCAAGGACTCCAAAGTGGTCAGGTGAGAACCACAGGGCCTCACTCAGGTCCTCTGACCCTAGTCTCATCCAGATCTCTGTGCTGCAGGGTTTCTCTGGTGCAAGAGAGGAAGGATCCTGCCTCACTTTCCCCAGTTAGAGGAAAAGGTGAAGACCATGTTCTGGGTTAGGATCTTCACCTGAAAAAATGGGGGTAATGCTTAGTTCATGAAGTCATTGGAAGGATTATGTGAGATAATGTTTGTGAAAGCACTGAGGACGATATCTGGCACAGAGCACTCACATTATTGTTGGTTTATTTATTTATTCATTTGATATACATGTATTGAATACCCCACTCAATGCTAGACTGTTTTAAGTCCTGGGGATACAGCAAGGAACAAATAGACAAAATTTTCTCTTCTTAGAGACCTTACATCCCAATGAGGAGATACCATCAGTAAGTAATAGGTAAAATTTGTGAAATGATAATAAGTGTAAAGGAAAAAAATAAAGCAGGGAAAGGGAATATGGAGTGCTGTGAGGGCGAAGATTGTAAAATACAGTAATCAGGGCAGTATACGCCTGTAATCCCAGCACTTCGGGAGGCTAAGGTGGAAGGGTCGCTTCAGCTTAGGAGTTCAAGATCAGCATGGGCAACATGGCAAGACCTTGTCTCTACTAAAAGCAGAAAAAATTAGCCAGGTGTGGTGATATAGGCCTATAGTCCCAGCTACTCAAAAGGCTGAGATGGGAGGATCACTTGAGCCTGAGAGGTGGAAGGTGCAGTGAGCTGTGATTACATCACTTTCCTCCAGCCTGGGTGACAGAGTGAGACCCTGTCTCAAAACAAAACAAAAGTGATCAGAGAAGCTGCACCAAAAAGGTGGCATTTGAGTCAAGACCTGAAGAAAGTGACCTTGTGGGTATTTTGGGGAAGAATGTGCCAGAGAGAGAGAATGGCAAGTGGAAAGGCCCTGAGGTGGGCGTGTACCTGCACACTGGAACACTGGCAGGGAGGCTGGTGTGGCTGGAGTAGAGGGCATGTGGGTGAGGGTGGTGGGTTATAAGATCTGAGAGCAAAGTGGGGTGTCAGACAGTTTGGGTGTCATGATGACTGGCTTTTACTCTGACAAAACAGAGAAACCACTGGAGGATTTTGAGCAGAAGAGTGATGTGATCTGATTAATGTTTCATAGGGTCATGCTGGCTGCTATATTGAGACTAGATGAAAGAGAATGGGGGCAAGAGCAAAAGCAGAAACTGGGAGGCTAGTTAGGAAGCTATTGCGGTTACCCAGGTGAGAGATCATGGCAACCTGTCTGAGGCGGTGGCAGCCGAAGTGGTGAGAAGCAGTCAGATTCTGGGTGTAGTTTGAAGGTGGAGATGAGAAGATTTGCTGACAGATTGGAAATGAAAGAAAGGAATCTGGGGTGACTCTGAGGTTCATTAAAAGGATAACCAGTTTAGAGCCTACCATGTGCTCAGGTCTATGGGGGATTTAGAAGGAGCATTCACATTGCCTTTCCCTTCAAGGAGGCTAAAGTCTAGCTTCTGGAGGAAGACTTAACATGTGGCAATATGCTATGGAAAGATATGTTGCTTAGTACTCCAAGCAGGCCAGGCATGGTGGCACACACCTGTAATCCCAGGACTTTGGGAGGCCGAGGTGGGAGGATTGCCTGAGCCCAGGAGTTCAAGATTAGCCTGGGCAATGTAGAGAGACCCCGTACCTACAAAAATTTAAAAAGTTAGCCAGATGTGGTGGTGCACAATTATGGTGCACCTCAACCCAGGAGGTCAAGGCTGCAGGGAGCTTGATCATACTACTATATTCCAGCCTGCATGACAGAGCAAGAACAAGATCCTGCCTCCAAAAAAAAGGTATATATATTTATTTATTCCAAGCACATTAAGAATCAAGAGAGGAAGGAGTTTCTGGAATAGAGTTGTTTAGGAAGGCTTTAAGGAAGAAGCGAGATTAAAACTATCTTCAAAGCATCAGTAGGATATGGCTAGGCAGAGAGGAGACATTATCAAGCGGAAGATAAAAACCAAGGAGATGGGAAGGATGTGAGCAGGACTTCCCACCTGAAGCAGAAGGTTTGAGTTAGGGAGTCATGGGAGATAACACTGGTCTGTTAGGGTGGGGACAAGGAGTGCAGACGTTCAGAGCCATGTGGTAGCATGTAGATTTCATATGAGAGATGGTAGGGCCCCAGCTGAGAGAATAAATATGCCTCAAATACGGGAGTTCTTGGGAAGAGAATTATTGCAAGAGACAACTTCTGTTGGGTCTTGGCCAGTGTCCCTGGTTCCCCTACTCTGGGTCCCCACTGCCTTACCTGCTGCTTTGCAGCCTCCTCTCCTCACAGCCGTCCTGTGGCTTTTGACCCTGATAGCCCCATGGCACAGCTGCACTTTGCCTCATCCAGGCCTGTGGCTTCTTGCCTGGCAGGTGCCACTTCTCCACTTTCAAGCAGTGCCAAGAGTGGCTCTCACGGCTAAGCCGAGCCACAGCAAGACCTGCCAAGCCTGAGGACCTCTTTGCCTTTGCCTACCATGCCTGGTGCCTGGGGCTGACCGAGGAGGACCAGCACACTCACTTGTGTCAGCCAGGTGAGGCCAGTCTGTTTGCTTTGGGAGGCTGCTTCTTACCCCTTGGTTCTCATCCCTCCTCCACCCCTGCACATTGGTGCTCTGGGAAGCTAACCGCCATGGGGGCTCTGTTGCAGGTGAGCACATACGATGTCGGCAGGAGGCGGAACTCGTGAGGATGGGCTTTGACCTGCAGAATGTCTGGAGAGTCTCACACATCAACAGCAACTACAAGTGAGAGGGTTGGGGGACCAAAACACCTTCCACACCACACCACTTCCATGTTTGGATAAAGCATGGTGGGCACAGCTCCTGAGTCTGTGAGGGAGGAAGGCTGCCGGTTTTTCTTCCCACAAAGCCATCCCCAGGAATCTTGTCATCACATGTCTTAGACCCAGTTCGGTGACTCCCATCTGGTCTCTTCTCAGATTGTGCCCCAGTTACCCCCAGAAGCTGCTGGTTCCTGTGTGGATCACTGACAAAGAGCTGGAGAACGTGGCTTCCTTCCGCTCCTGGAAGCGGATCCCCGTGGTTGTGTATAGGTGAGGCAATGGGGCTGGGGAGTGGGTAGGCCGTTTCTTATGCAACGAGGAAAGAGTCAAAATTGGAGGTTTTGGGTAACCTGAATGACTGGGAATTGACACTCTATGGGGAAGTATGAAATAATTTTAAAACAAAAACTATCTTAGTTTTTTCTCCTAAGAATAAGGCTATTAGGAAGTTTATTCATCCTTTTTCAGAGTGGTGTGTGTGTGTGTGTGTAAAACACTGCATTAGTACGGGGGTTGGCAAACTGGCCTGCAGACCAAATCTGGATTATAACCTATTATATAAAACGGCTTGTAAGCTGTGAGTGGTTTTTACATTTTTAAAGAGTTATTTAAATAAAAAAGCAAACATAAGAATATATGACAGAAACTGGTTGTGACCCACAAAGCCAAAAATTTGTTGTCTGGTTTTTTACTGAAAATGTTTGCTGATGCCTGCACTAGAATATTGTAGCTAAAATAGAGTGAGACAGGGAGTAACCATGAAGTTTGGAATTGTTCCTGTTCTTGGCTCAGCCAGGCCTTGTTCTCCTGCTGGGTGTCTGTACCTGGAGCAGCTGCTGTGCGATTTGATGAGTCAAGGTCACCTTGAGCATACAGAGCCCATTTGAGGAAATATGTGTGATGGTGCTTTGTGAACTGTGAAGCCCACTAGTGATGTTGGGGCTTTTGGTTGCTCTTGTGACCTGGATGAGTTGGTAGCCCCTGCTGACTCTAGAGACTTTGGTCTAACCGTTCCCTGAGGTAGGCTGCTGGAGGCTTCGAATGCCAAGGGCATTACGGTTTTTTCTGTTTTGTCAGACACTTGCGCAATGGGGCTGCTATCGCCCGCTGCAGCCAGCCGGAGATCAGCTGGTGGGGCTGGCGCAATGCTGATGATGAGTACCTGGTCACGTCCATTGCTAAAGCCTGTGCCCTGGACCCAGGGACAAGGGCCAATGGGGGCTCCCTCAGCATCGGGAATGATACCAGCGAGGCGTGTGATGCTGACTTTGGTAAGGTGTGGTTGATGCTAGCCTCCCAGGGAGCAGGCCCCCCCCCCGCTTCATTGGCTCCCAGGGAGTCCCCAGTGAGAGTCTGGGAAGATGACAGCACACAGGGTGCTGGGGTCCTGCCTTGTTGGAAGCTGTGGCGTGTGAGGGGTCTCTAGTTTCATGTTCTGCCTTCTGAGAGGGAGTACCAGAGGGCCAGTGGGAGGATGGGTGGCTGGCTGACTCAGGGGCTCCTCCCTGCTGTGTGTTTAGATTCCTCTCTGACCGCATGCTCTGGAGTGGAGAGCACAGCAGCCCCCCAGAAGCTGCTGATCCTGGATGCACGATCCTACACGGCAGCAGTGGCTAACCGGGCCAAGGGTGGAGGCTGTGAATGTGAAGGTATTGCTGTTATGCCAGTGTTTGCAGCCAGCCTGTGCTCTGGATGGCTTTAGTGAGGAGGGGGTTGTGGGCCCATTGTATAGTGGAAAGAACCCAAACAAACTGGCTTGGAATCACTACTTTGCTACCTACTAGCTATGGTGACGACTATGCTGAAATTGCTTAATCTGTCCAAGCTTTATTTTCTCTTCTATAAGAAGGGGATGTTACAAACCTTGCAAAATTGTTGGGATGATTAGAAGTTGCATATGTAGGCCAGGCACGGTGGCTCGTGCCTGTAATCCCAACACTTTGGGAGGCGGAGGCGGGTGGATCGCTTGAGCTTAGAAGTTCGAGACCAGCCTGGACAATATGACGAAACCCTGTCTCTACCAAAAACACAAAAAATTAGCTGGGCATGGTGGTGCATGCCTGTGGTCCCATCCCAACCACTCAGGAGACTGAGGCATGAGAATCACTTGACCCTGGGAGGCAGAAGTTGCACTGAGCTGATATTGTGCCACTGCACTCCAGCCTGGGTGACCATGAGACCCTGTCTCAAAAAAGAAAAAGAAGTTGTATTATATAAAATTATTGGCACAGAGCTGCTACTGTTTATTGAGAATTTATTATATATTGTCTTTCTAAGTACTACTATCATCGGTCATTACTGCTACTATTACTAGTATATGGCACCTGAGTCTCCAGAAATACAAGCGTGATTCCGATTTCAAGATTGTATTTAGTTCCCATCCTGGAGTTCTCTGTCCTTCAGGGAAGCTTTGTCCATCAGGGCCACTCTTGTCCTGGATGCCTGTTCCCAGGACTCGCTTTTATGTCTCACTCTCCTGTCATGTCTACAGAGTACTATCCCAACTGTGAGGTCGTGTTCATGGGAATGGCCAACATCCATGCCATCCGGAACAGCTTTCAGTATCTCCGGGCTGTGTGTAGCCAGATGCCGGATCCTAGCAAGTAGGTGTTCCCTGCTCGCGTTCCCTCCAGTCTCATTCCTTACCCAATACCTCTGCTTCTTGGGAGATTATATGGGGAGATGAGATGTTTGGAGAGCAGGAGATCTGAGGGCCTGGGTGGAGCTGGGTGCCATGGGCTAGTTCCAAGAACCCTTCCACTTCTCAGCCAACACTTTGGCGTGGTCACAGGACATTGGATTCCTTTTGTTTGGATCAGTTGTTCTACTCAAAGAACACAGAGAACTGGGGAGAGTGTGCATGTGATGCTTCTCAGTTCCTCTTCTGATCCTCAGAAGCTCTTATGTGCTGCAGGTCCTGTCTTCCCTACCTTCCTGCTAGATACCTCTTGGCCAAAAGGCCACGGGATGGACCTCTTGGTTTCAGTTCTCACTGCGGACTTCGTTGGGTGCGGCTGGCTGTGGGTGGTGGAGAGACTGTTGTGGCCTCAGCACCCTTGGTGACCGACTTGATTTCTGCTCTTGCGTAGCTGGTTGTCGGCACTAGAGAGTACCAAATGGCTGCAGCACTTGTCGGTGATGCTAAAAGCAGCTGTGCTGGTGGCTAATACCGTAGACCGGGAAGGCCGGCCTGTGCTGGTACACTGCTCAGATGGCTGGGACCGCACACCGCAGATCGTATCCCTGGCCAAAATATTACTGGACCCGTATTACAGGACGTTGGAGGTATTGAGACGAATCGGGTGGGAAGTCAGAGGGAATGTGGGAGGAGGGAAGGTATTGAGCCCTTTGGATCTGTCCTGGGGATATTTCAGTAGAGGACATTGGTGGCTCTTTGTTTCTTTTTTTCAATTCCCAAATGCTTGGAAAATTGGTGGCTTTGAGTTCTCCTCTAGGTCCAGTCCTATTTTTCTTTGAAGCTGCCTGCTCCCTGTTTTGGGCAGTTCCCAGGAGGGTAGCATATCAGCATTTCCTGAGAAGCCCTATGTTTGAACAGTTTCTTTTTTTGCAGGGCTTCCAAGTTTTAGTGGAATCGGACTGGCTAGATTTTGGGCACAAGTTTGGAGATCGCTGTGGCCACCAAGAGAATGTGGAGGACCAAAATGAACAATGCCCTGTGTTCCTCCAGTGGCTTGATTCTGTTCATCAGTTACTTAAGCAGTTCCCCTGCCTGTTTGAATTTAATGAAGCATTCCTGGTAAGCCCTAAACCCTGTGACAAGGAGGAAGTGGGGAATGTCAGCCTCAGGACTCCAGGTGCAAGCTCTCTCTGCCTTCCAGGTAAAACTGGTGCAACACACATACTCCTGCCTGTACGGCACATTCCTGGCCAACAACCCCTGTGAGCGAGAGAAGCGCAACATCTACAAGCGGACCTGCTCTGTGTGGGCACTCCTTCGAGCTGGCAATAAAAACTTTCATAACTTCCTCTACACTCCCGGCTCAGACATGGTGAGTCTGAGCCCTTTTCTCATAGGTGCTATTTAGAAACCTATAGGGAGAAGGGGCTGAATCAGTAGGGAAAATACAGAGTCAAAGGTTTAGAGAAAAAAGGGATCAGGAACTCTTCACAAAGCACTAGTATTGAGCTGCTTCCCTAGGTCCTGCATCCTGTGTGTCATGTCCGGGCCCTGCACCTCTGGACAGCTGTTTATCTGCCAGCATCATCTCCATGCACACTTGGGGAGGAAAGCATGGATCTTTACCTTTCCCCAGTGGCCCAGAGCCAGGAGTTCTCTGGCCGCTCTCTGGACAGGTAAGAAAAGCCCTTCTTCCTTTCTCCTCTCTCCACTAGGAAGGCAGTAACTGCTTCCTATCTCATCTAAATGTTGTTCTCTTTCTTTTTTTTTCTTTTTTGAGACGGAATCTTGCTCTGTCGCCCAGGCTGCAGTGCAGTGGCTCACTGCAACCTCCACTTCCTGGGTTCAAGCTATTCTCCTGCCTCAGCCTCCTGAGTAGCTGGGATTACAGGAGCCCAGCGCCGTGCCCAGCCAATTTTTTGTATTTTTATTGGAGATGGGGGTTTCACCATGTCGGCCAGGCTGATCTCGAACTCCTGACCTCAGATGATCCACCCACCTCAGCCTCCCAAAGTGCTGGGATTACAGACGTGAGCCACTGTGCCTGGCTTCTTTCTGAGATATTTAAAAGCAACTTCTTGAGTAATTTGCAGGAAAAACTTGGCCCAGCACTGGTAGCTAGCCTGGAGTGTACTCTGTTTTCAAGGTCCTCTGAAGATAAGGTTGGATACTTTCTTTCCTGGAGGAGCTGCTATCACCCTGTGTGATAAACCCAAGCATGGGAGAGAACAAAACAGAAAGTACTATTTTAGGAAGGTTTGTGAGAATGCTCTTGATTTTTGTTCACTGGTACAGGGAATGGGGAGCTTGCTATATTAGTAGCAACCTTTGTTGTATCCAGCATTAGCTTCCAGAAACATCTGACTCTCAGCGAAATGGGTTCCCAGCAGGGAGATGGCCTTTACGTTACTCCCTCAGAAAAAGGCCAGAATTTAAAGGGGAGACATAAAATTAGTTATTTTCTGGCTGAATGTTCAGGGGGAAGTGAAATGAGGGTTGGTTAAATTATGAGAGTAGTACATTGTTTCTTGTTTTTTAAAAAAATAGTCAAAATGATATAAAAGTAGAAAATGAAAATCTCTCCTTAAGATCCTTGTCCTGACAGGTGTCCACCGTTAACACTTGGCATGTGTCTTTCCAGATGTTTACCTCTATATAGACAAATCCACACTCTCACGCGCTGATATGGAAACATTCTTTGTAAACAAAATCAGAATATTTTTACATGCCCTTTTTGCTTTTTTGCATATTTTGCAAATTGTTTTTCCCACTTTGTATTAGATTGTCTTCTCATAACAGCACATATAAAGCTCCTTTCTTGTTTTTATTGGGTTCAGAGTAGTCAAAAATTTATATAACCAGATTACTATTCATCATTTAAGTAATTTCCATTTTTTTTTTTTTTAATCATACTGGGAGTGCTTTAGTGACATCCTTATTTATATAACTTTTTTTTAAATTGTAAAATACAGGTCAGGCATGGTGGCTCACGCCTGTAATCCCAGCACTTTGGGAGGCCGAGGTGGGTCAGGAGTTTGAGACCAGCCTGGCCAACATGGTAAAACCCCGTCTCTAAAAAATACAAAAATTAGCTGGGCGTGGTGGCACGTGCCTGTAATCCCAGCTACTGTGGAGGCTGAGGCATGAAAAACTCTTGAACCTGGTGGGTGGAGATTGTAGTGAGCTGAGATGGCGCCACTGCACTCCAGCCTGGGCGATAAAGTGAGGCTCAGTCTCAAAAAAAAAAAAAAAAAAAGGAAAATTGTAAAATACACATGCTATTTACAATCTATAATATTTTTAAGTATATAGTTTAGTAGGGTTACTTTTTTTTTTTTTTTTTTTAAAGATAGAGTTTTGCTTTGTTGCCCAGGCTGGAGTGCAATGGCATAATCTCAGCTCACTGCAACTTCTGCCTCCTGTGTTCAAGTGATTCTTCTGCCCCAGCCTCCAGAGTAGCTGGGGTTACAGGCATATGTCACCACCCCTGGCTAATTTTTGAATTTTAGTAGAAATGGGGGGTTTACCATGTTGGTCATGCCGGTCTCAAGCTCCTGACCCCAAGTGATTCACCCACCTCAACCTCCCAAAATGTTGGGATTATAGGTGTAAGCACCTGTGCCCGGCCAGGAGGGTTACTTTGTATGCATACTTTTGCATTTGTGCTAGTATTTTTGCCAGATAAATGAAAATACTGTGCCCAAGGATATATATATTTCAATTTTTGATATTTGTTTATTGGCTGAGAGCTTTTTTTTTTTTTTTTTTTTTTTTTAAGAGACAGGGCATTGCTCTGTCACTCAGGCTGGAGTGCAATGGCACAATTATAGCTTACTGTAACCTCAAACTCCTGAGCTCAAGTAATCCTTGTGTTTCAGCCTCCCAAGTAGCTAATTAGCTCATTAGGCACTTTTATTTTTTATTTTTATGCCAATTTTTATTTTTTATAGAGACAGACTCTATTGCCCAGTTTAGTCTTAAACTCCTAGCCTTGAGTGATCTTCCTGCCTTGGTCTCCCAAAGAACTGGAATTACAGCTGTGAGCCATCATGCCCAGCCTGGCTGAAAGTTTTTAAAGTTAAAATATAACTTATGTTTTTGGTTGAATATTATAAAGGAAAACAAAAAAAAACCCCAGCATCCCAAATTATTGGTTTTAGGGTCCTTTGAAGTAAGTCAATTGTGAGAGAACCATGATAAGTTTTAGGAATTCAGTGATTTTTTTCTCCTTCCCCAAACTATGCAGAATTTGGCTATAGGCTCATAGGTTTACTTTTCCTGGGAGAGGGGCCATAACTTTTAATCAAATTTTTAATAAGCTCTGTGACCCATTTAATAATCATTGTGTTAACTTAGTATCTGATTTATCAATTCAACAAATGTCTCTTTAATACTTACAAGTTGCCTATTACTGTACTAGGCTTTGTGGGCTACACCAAAGAAATAGAAGATATTGGTTCTACTTTCAAGATAATTTTAAGCTGTAAGATAAGACACAGAACAACTAGACAATTCTAAGTCAACATCTAAGCAAATAAGAATGTGTGTAGTTCAGGCTAGTCATGGTGGCTCACGTCTGTAATCCCAGCACTTTGAGAGGCCAAGGTGCACAGATTGCTTGAGCCCAGGAGTTTGAGACCAGCCTGGGCAACATGGTGAAACCCCACCTCTACAAAAAGTACAAAAATTAGCCAGGCATGGTGGTGTGCACCCATGTTCCCAGCTACTTGGTGGGCTGAGGCAGGAGGATTGTTTGAGCACAGGAGGTCGAGACTGCAGTGACCTTGCCACGGCACTCCAGCCTGGGTGACAGAGAGAGACCTTGTCTCAAAAAAAAAAGTAATGTGTGTAGTTCAAAGCTTTAGAGAAATGAGATGTTTTTTAAAAGGGTCATTTGGTGGCTGTTTTATTCAGGAAATTTTTATGAAGGACCAGAAAAGAACTGTGGATATTTTTGTGCTCCATGTATCTGGCTTAGAACCTGGCATATAATAAGTAAATTTAAATAAATTTACTAAAGTAAAAATTAAAACTGGACAAATTAATGAAATAAAGGGAGTTGTGAGCTTAGTAACAAGGTTAGTGGAGAGGGTTCAAGTGATTTTCCTGCCTCAGCCTCTCAAGTAGCTGAAATTACAGGCATGTGCCACCATGCCTGGCTAATTTTTGTATTTTTAGTAGAACAGGGTTTCACCATGTTGCCCAGGCTGGTCTCGAACTCCTGACCTCAAGTGACTCACTCGCCTTGGCCTCCCAAAGTGCTAGGATTGTAGGTGTGAGCCACTGCGCCTGTTCGAGAGGTAGTTTTTTTTAAAAAAAGAACCTCTGCACCTGACAGGGATTGAGAGGAGGCTATTTTAAGGAGTATAGAGAAATATAGGACAGGTCATTGAGGGCATTGAAGGCTTTAAACATTACGGTGAAGAGTTTATTTTGATTCAGTTGTCAATAGGAAGTCATTGTAGGAAGTCATTGTGATTTGCTGACAGTGGGATCCTTGGAGAACTAATCAGTGAGTACAGGGTAGCTGGAGGCACAGAGACCAGCCAGCACCGCTGTAACAGTTCAGATATGAGGGGAAGAGTCCCTGGCAAAGAGAAAGGATTAAATTCAGAAGCACTGTGGAGAAGCCATTAGCAGGCTACAGAATTGATTGAAAGTTGGAGAGTAGACGTAAAAAGTACTTTGAGTCCCAAATATCTGAGCTTAGAAAGTAGGAGAATATTAGTAACACTATGATAGACATTGAAAAGTTGAGAAGACAAGCCAGTTTTGGGAGAAAGTGGAGGTATAGGGAAATTGGGATTGAAATATTAGTTGACAGCAAAGAAGGAGGTGTGTTGTAGGCAGCTCAAGACGGAGAGTGGATTTTGAGACATAACTGATATAAAGATTTTAAAGGAAGTGGTCTCTGTAACAACTGACCTGACTTTGATTCTACCTTTCCCTAGATCAACAATGTCCTACTGTCTTTCTTCTTCCATTAAAGTCAAACACATTCTTCTATTCCCATCTCAAATTCTACCTTCTCTGTATAGCTTTCCCTGACCACCTAGCTGGATGAGCTCTCTCTTCTTGTTCTAAACTCAGGTATTATTATCTCTGTCAAAATTGCTGATTAACCTTTGGTACACATAGGAATGAGTTGTGGAGGATGGCAGAATGTTATTTGAATTTGGATGAAGAGCACATGAGAGTTACTTATATTATTTTTGTTGTTGTTTGAGACAGAATCTCGCTCTGTCGCCCAGGCTGGAATGCAGTGGTGTGATCTTGGCTCACTGCAGCCTCTACCTTTTGCGTCCCAGGCTCAAGTGATTCTCATGCCTCAGCCTCCCACATAGGAGCTGGGTTTACAGGTGTGCACCACCACACCCAGCTAACTTTTTGTATTTTTAGTAGAGATGGGATTTCACCATGTTGGCCACGCTTGTCTCTACTGGCCTCAAGAGATCTGCCTGCCTGACCTTCCAAAGTGTCGAGATCACAGACGTGGGCCACTGCGTTCAGCCATATTCTTTACTTCTTTTGTATGCTTGAAAATTTCCATAATAAAAAGTAAAATGAAAAGAAAGAAGTCAGCTGTAGTACTTAAAAGAATACAGATGTCTAGGCCTCACTCTTGGCCATTCTTATTCAGTAGGTCTTAGGTGGGCCCTGGTTGTCTAGACGTCTAAGAAGATCCACCAAGATGCCTGATATATATCACGTATTGAGTTTTGCTGGTCTATTTCATTCAATTGGCATCTAACAGTAGAAACTTGATGTTAGATTTTAAGCTCACTCATTCATTTCTCAAGTCATTTGCCCCTGGTACTGTGCTAGGTGCTGGGGATTCAAATAAGACAGAGTCCTGCCATCAAGACACTTCAGTAGAAGGAATTAAGTAAGTCAACAGGAAAGTGCAATAATGTGTTACAGGAAGTACTGAGCAATGCACTTGATGTGGATTCTTTTGTTTAATCTTCATAATAGCTTGAAGAGGTAGGTACTTTAACCTTGATTCCATAGATGACAGATCTGAGGCTTACAGAAGTTAAAGTAACACAACAAAGAAGTTGTTAATTTGGGATTTGAGCCCTGCCTATGGGACTCCAGGGACTATAATTAGAACCACTGCTTTTGCCTTCCTGGAATTTCATACCATTAAAAAAATCAAAATTGTTCACAAAAGTTAGATCAAATATGTATAAAACATTTATTGTAAGTTTCAAAAACCAGTTACTTAAAATAAGCTGCATTATAACTCTGCCTTTGGGGGATTTTTCTGCATGGGCTGAACTGACTGAGCCATCTAAAAATAGGAGGCCAGTGAAGCCTCTACTGTTTCCCTGGTGAATTTCCCTCAAGTTTTCATTGCTCTAAGGACTTTGAACTGCATTAATAATCAGGATGGTCATTCCTGAAAATGTCCCTTACCCATCTGGTATATACAAATGCTTCTAGAATTCTGAGTACTATATACCAGGGGAAGTTTCTATGGGGCCTTGGGAATCAGGAGCACCTGCTGCTAAGTGGTTATCAAGAGCAGTGTTGTGGGAATTGTGTTGTCTAAAAGTTTGTGGTTATTATGTTTGTGGTTGGTTGCCTATATTTTGAATTCTCATAGCATCTCTACAAGGTATGATTTACTATTATCATTGTATAAAGGGAAAGACCAAGTATCTGAGAGGTTAATTTGCTTATTTGTAGTCATGTAGCTAATCAGTGTCAGAGCCAATATTGTGTACCTCTAAAACCCATCTTCTTTCCGTTTTACTGTGATGGAGGCAGTGGGATATAGGGTTTGAGTCTTAGGTATAGTCTTGGCTGGAATAGTAGATTCAGAAGGCAGCAGCACAGAAGGCAGCTGAAACCACTGTAGTGGTTAAGATTGCCTAGTGAGACTGGTAGGTTGAGTGCTGACAAAAGCTGAGAATAGATGTTTGGGTTCCAGATGACAGGGTCTGTGTCTTATGCTTTTTTTGTAGAGTAAACTTTCAGGGAACATTGGTTATTTGTAATCTTAAATGTCACTATTTCTAAACTCTGGCTTTGATATTGCTCCATTGACTCAATTCCATATATTGTATTGTAAGTGCCCATCTCCTGACCTGGAGGTGTTGTGTTTATCATTCCAGATTACCTAAAACCAGATCCATGGATGATCTTCTTTCTGCCTGTGACACAAGCAGCCCCCTGACTCGTACATCCAGTGACCCTAACCTGAATAACCACTGTCAGGAGGTCAGGGTAGGCGTGGAGCCCTGGCACAGCAATCCTGAGGGATCAGAGACAGCCTTTGTGGAGTCTGGGGTAGGAGGTCTTCAGCAGACTGTAGAAGTGGGTCTTTCTCCTCCTCTGTCCAGCAGCCAGAAAGACTACTTGAGCAATAAATCTTTCAAGAGTCACAAAAGCTGTTCTCTAAGTTACAAACTGCTTAATACCACAGTGCCTCGGGAAATGAAGAGCAACATCTCTGATCCTGAGATCAAAGTCCTAAAAGAGACTAAGGGACCAGCTTCAGACCCTCCTGCCCAGGATGAGCTGGGTAGGACTTTAGATGGCACAGGGGAGCCACCTGAACATTGTCCTGAAACAGAAGCTGTCAGTGTACTCTCCAAGGTCATTTCTAACAAGTGTGATGGAGTTTGTAATTTTCCTGAGTCTTCCCAGGACTCTCCTACAGGTGTGCCCCAACAGGCCCAGCCAGACTCCAAGCTAGGTGTGCCCTCCAGATGTGGTCTCGATCACAGCCTCAGCACCCTTTGCAACCCACTGAGTGCTGCCTGCCAAATTCCTCTAGACCCAAGCGCTGACTTCCTCAGCCAAGATCCCTCAGGGTCTGTGGCAAGTATCTCCCACCAGGAACAACTGAATTCTGTGCCGGATCTGATTCATGGGGAGGAAGACACTAGTAAAAGAGGAAATAATAGGAATGGGCAGTTATGGGAAAATCCTCGCTTTGGGAAAATGCCGTTGGAATTGGTCCGGAAGCCAATTTCTCAGAGCCAGATCAGTGAGTTCTCTTTTCTAGGGTCCAACTGGGACAGCTTCCAAGGGATGGTGACTTCATTCCCAAGTGGGGAGGCCACCCCTCGGCGGCTGCTTTCCTATGGCTGTTGTAGCAAGAGGCCAAACAGTAAGCAGATGTGGGCCACAGGGCCCTGCTTTGGGGGCCAGTGGGCTCAGAGAGAAGGTGTGAAGTCACCTGTCTGTTCTAGTCATTCCAATGGACATTGTACTGGCCCAGGAGGAAAGAACCGGATGTGGTTGTCCAGTCACCCAAAGCAAGCCTCTAGCACAAAGCCCGTTCCACTGAGCTGCCCTTCTCCAGTGCCTCCTCTCTATTTGGATGATGATGGACTCTCCTTTCCCACGGATGTGATCCAGCATAGGTTACGGCAAATTGAAGCAGGGTACAAGCAAGAGGTGGAGCAGCTACGTCGACAGGTGCGTGAGCTTCAGATGAGGCTGGATATCCGTCACTGCTGTGCCCCTCCAGCAGAGCCCCCCATGGACTATGAGGATGATTTTGTAAGTAGTCACCAACTGCCATACACTCACTGTTTAGTCTGTTCATCCAGCCTTCCCTCCATTCAGCATTTATTTGTTGGGTACTTGCTGTGTGCCACTGACTTAGGTGCCTGGTCTATAGGGTGAAAAACAAGTAAGCAATTAGGATGATGTTTTAAGTGCTATGATTGAGGAGGCATCAGGTGTTATAGGGCTGGAGTGGAGTGAAACATCAAGGCAGGCTTTCTTGAGAAGGTAATGCTTGAGCTGAGTGCTGAGGAATGTGTGATATTTAGCTAGGTAGACAGTGAAAAGGAAACACCATTTGCAGAAGCTTGGTGGCAATGAGTACTCCAATGATATGGCTTAAAAGGATGATCACAAGGACATGCGAGTGTATATGTGTACATGCATGCATACACACACTGGGGCTATTAGAGACGGTCAGATACAGTGGTGGGAGGTGACATTGGAGAAGTAGATGGAGATTAGAAGGGTCAGCTTGAGTGCCCTTCTTATTTGGATTTTACCCTTAAGGGAATAAAATTTTAGGCCAGTGCATAATATGATCAGAGCTGTACTTAAATGACTCTTGCAACAGTGTACAATTTTAATGAGGCAGTTGAGACCCAGATTGGGAGGCTGGTAAGGTCATTTTGGAATAATCCAGGTGAGAGATGAAGACCATCTAGGCTGTACAGTGTTGGGCAGCCTCAGGTTCTGGCACTGTGGTTCTTGGGGAGCTTCCAGGAGCCAGCTTCCTCCCTGTGGTACCTTGCCATCTACACAGACACTTTCCTTCCTTCTGTTAAGGTGCTCCTCACTTGCCTGCTTCTCACTTCTCTGGTGCTTTAAACAGTAGTCAGCAAACTTTTTTGTAAAGGGCCAAATAATAATTACTTTAGGTTTTGTGGGCCATACCATCTATGTTGCAACTAGTCACCTCTGCTATTGTGCAAAAGGAGCCATAACCCTGGCACACTGGCCCACACCTGTAGTTAGGACTTTGTGAGGCCGAGGTGGGTAGACTGCTTGAGCCAAGGAGTTTGAGACCAGCCTAGGCAATGTGGCAACACCCCCATCTCTACAAAAATTACAAAAAATTAGCTGGATGTCATGGTGGATGCTTGTGGTCCCAACTACTCGGGAGGCTGAAGTGGGAGGATTGCTTGAGTCCAGGATGTCAAGGCTACTGTGAGCTGTGATCATGCCACTGCATTCCAGCCTGGGCAAAAGAGTGACACGTTGTCTCAAAAACAAAACAAAAAGCAGCCATAGATAGTATGTAAACAAATGAATGCAGCTGTGTTCCAACAAAACTTGATTTACAGAAACAGGCCGTGGGCTAGATTTGGTTTGTGGGCCATTGTTTGCCAACTCTTGGTTTAGAATATAACAAAAGAGAGAGTCTTATATTGGTAAGGGTATAGGTCTGAAGCCACAATACTAGGCTCAAATCCCAGCTTACTACATATCAGCTCTTAACTTTCTCTGTGGCTTCATTTTCTTATTTGTAAAATAGGAATATTAGTAGTATATGTTGTAAGACTGTCATGAGAGATTAAATAAGTTCATGTATGTAATGCACTTAGCACAGTACCTGACACATGGTAAACAGTGTTAGCGATGATGAAGATAATGTTGATGTCTGCCTTTTCATCAGACATGTTTGAAGGAGTCAGATGGCAGTGATACTGAGGATTTTGGCTCTGATCACAGTGAAGACTGTCTTTCAGAAGCAAGCTGGGAACCTGTTGATAAGAAAGAGACTGAGGTATGTTTGGGTAAATAGGTGGTGGGTACTTATGTGAGCCATTGAGTCATCATTTCCCAGAGATGAGTGGCATGCTGTAGACTGAGCTCTCCCCTAGAGGAATGTCAGCCTGGTAGGCAAGTGGTAGCCAGTTAGGAAGATAAGCCTTGTCACTTTCTCCTGGGGTGCTTTCCTTGTTGCAGTGTTGCTCTTCCATTCTGTCAACAAGGACCTAGAATGTTTCCTTGTGCCTTCTATTAGGTGACTCGCTGGGTTCCAGACCATATGGCATCACACTGCTATAACTGTGATTGTGAATTCTGGTTGGCCAAACGAAGACACCATTGCAGGTAAGTTGTTTTATATGATTTAGTCTGACTCAAAAACCAGTGCAATACATATGTATAGAACTAAGTGGAATTAGTCTGGAAATGGATACCTCTTTATAGAAACTATGTTTGTGGCCGGTCACGGTGGCTCACGCCTCTAATCCCAACACTTTGGGAGGCCGAGGCAGGTGGATCATAAGGTCAAGAGATTGAGACCATCCTGGCCAACATGGTGAAACCCTGTCACTACTAAAATACAAAAATTAGCTGGGCATGGTGGTGCGTGCCTGTAGTCCCAGCTACTTAGGAGACTAAGGCAGGAGAATTGCTTGAACCTGGAAGGTGGAGGTTGCAGTGAGCTGAGATCACGCCACTGTACTCTAGCCTGGCGCTTAGTGACAGAGCGAGACTGTCTTAAAAAAAAAAAAAAAGAAACTATGTTTGTCCCCAACTTTTCACTTACTAACATTCTCAGTATATCGGCATTTCTTAATATTAATTTTTTTATTAGAGATGGGGTTTTGCTATGTTGCTCAGGCTAGTCTCAAACTACTGGCCTCAAGCAATTCTACTGCCTCAGCCTACCAAAGTACAGGAATTATCGGTGAGTCACCGTGCCTGGCCAGTATATAGGCATTTCTGATGAACTCTTCCCTCTTTGTGCTTTGGCAGAAATTGTGGGAATGTATTTTGTGCTGCATGCTGCCACCAGAAGCTGCCCATTCCTGATCAGCAACTCTATGACCCAGTTCTCGTCTGTAACTCATGTTTCGAACACATTCAAGTCTCTCGTGCCAGGGAACTCATGAGCCAACATCTGAAGAAACCCATCGCGACAGCTTCCAGCTGAATGCCGGGGAGACAACCTGTCCAATTTTAGCAGGTTGAAGGGAGGATCTGCTTCAGTTGTAGTTTGGAAGGTTCCTTGGTGTGGCTCATGAAAACACAGAGCTCAAAGATACCATCTTGAGAAATCCTCCTTGGTATCATGAAACTGGAGCAGAGAAATTCCAATTTGGCGGGAGGTCCTCTACTGGTGAGACCCCTCACCTTGGGGTAATGGTCCTAATCCAGACCCAGGGTCTGGAAGCCTCATGTTGAGTTGGTGACTCCAGCTTCTTTCTCCTGGAGGTCACAAGATAATGATTGCATAGATGTTGCCTGGTGCAAAGTGCCCCAAACAGCAATAGAAAGGCATATGTGTAACCAAACTCCAAGTGATAACCAGACCCATCTCTCCTCCACCTTGACAAAAGCAGATTATAGTATACAAGATTGGAATTCCTGTCCTATTTGAGATGAACTATATCCTGTACCTCTGTGCTCTGTGTCTGTGCATGAAGGCTCAGTCTTTAGAGGCACTCCCTCTAGTTGCATTAGTACTGTCTTTCTGTGGAGTTTGAAGACTGGTTCAGCAAGTGGAGGTTTCAATGTATTTTTCAGCTGGCTCATCAGCCAGTATCGGTAAATATTCAGTTTAGGGGGACAGTTCTAGGGAGCGAGACATTTTTGGGAGCAGAGGAAAACTGCTGATGTTCGGTCCTGGCAAACATTGAGTTATTTTGAGCTATGAAGGCAGTCGTCTCTGTTACACAGTGGCAGCTCTTGTGTTATGCACTGTGAAGAATGAGAAGGGAAAGCAAAAATTATCCTTGTGGAATATCTGCTGATTGTTCCCTACCCTTTGCACCTGACTTTTCCTAGTTGTCCTGGTGCTAACACAGGAGCTACACCTTGATCCTCTCCTGGCATGAAAATAAAGGTTTTTGTTGTTGTTCCATTGCCTACTCCCTGACGTTGTCTTTCCCTTGGCTGCTGCCTCCTCTGGGTCACACTGCTTCTTATCCTGAACACTTGACACCTCAAGGGTAGAATTTAGCGTTTGGTTTTTACCTCCTAGCATATGCTGTTTGGTATGTGAGGGTTTCAGTACAAATGCTGCTGTCTATTAATGTGCACTTAACAATGGAACCCAAACAGAAGAGAATAAAGCCTTGATACCAAAATTGGGAGAGAACATGTGTCCATTTGGACCAAACGTTGGTTTTTAAAAAATTTTATTTTGTTTTTTTCATCTTAATATGTACCAGTGGCACTTAACCAAAAGATACAGTGATATAGCCATGTACTGTGGGCAGGACAGATACAGTCTCCTTGGCCTATAATGAAACCACTAGGACTTTATACATTTTCCTTAATTTGTTGACATATAAATGGTAAATTACATTTAGGCTTATCCTGTTTTGAAATGATGATAGTCATCTTTCTCACTGCTACTTTCATGTTGCTTTCTAGAAAACAGCATTTCATTCCAAAATAACTAGGATCTGCATTTAGAACAAGAATCATTATTTGTCCTGACCTTTTCAGTCCTACAGAGAAGCATCTGTGGTTCTTTTGTACTTGCCATAGATGTAACCTAAAAAGTTTTGGGGTATTTAGGTCAGCCTAGCAGAACTTTTTTTTTTTTTCATTTAAATGGAGCTGTATAATGGAGATTTTGTGTCTGCAAAATTCCTGAGATCATTGAAAAAGTAACAAGCTATTCCTTGTTTCTAATACATAAAATTATTTTAAGCATTTTCTTAGTCATTAAAATTTACTGCCAGTTGTGAGTGGCTTTTTAATTAACCTGACTTCCATTGCACTTCACTCTGCTTGTTTTCAAGGGGAGTAAGATTGGTAACATTTGGGGAGACTATATCTGTCTACTTAGTGCGGCTGTTTTGAGGGACTGTCTCATCAGTGAACAAACTGCATGGCCTTGGAGAGAGACTCTGGGCTCTTGGCTCAGATGTGTTCATCAAATACTCCTTTCAGAGCTGTTGTGGATGTAAGTGATATGATGTGGCCAAAAATCCAAACCGTGCAGTTGCGTTGTGACAAACATGCAATGTGCTGTAAAAATTCAATACAGTTTAAATAAAATCTCTATATTAGTGCTGCTTTGTTGAGTCTTCTTATTTATTTTCATTTCTAAGAAAACTTAATTTTCACTCTTTGACCATGAGAAGAGTAGAACATTGTACCCTCTTCTACCAGCAATTTCCTATTTATTTATTTAGAGATGGGGTCTCACTCTGTCATCCAGTCTGGAGTGCAGTGGTGCGATCTCAGCTCGCTGCAGCCTCCGCCTTCTGGATTTAAGCGATTCTCCTGCCTCAGCCTCCTGAGTAGCTGGGACTACAGGTGCGCTACCACACTGGCTAATTTTTGAATTTTTAGTAGAGACGGGGGTTCACCATACTGGTCTGGCTGGTCTCGAACTCTTGGGCTCAAGCAATCCACCCAGCTCAGCCTCCCCAAGTGTTTGGATTACAGGCGGGAGCCACTGCGCCCGACCAATTTCCATTTTCAAATGAACCTCTATTTTTTAATCAGCACAGCTCTGGTTATATTCTTATTTATTGATTGGATTGGCTAGGGAGCGATTCTTATGGATACCGTAGAATTCTATCCCATCTTTATTTCTCTTTAATGTCTAAAATGACACCAGCTGGTTGAGCAGGCACACAAAATAGTACTTAGATTCTCGTGATTCCCTCCTCCCAGGGACCTCAGTTCTCATCTAACCTTGAGCAAAATGTCTTGAGCAAAATGCTGACCTAAGAGAGTATATCTTAAAAGATACAAGATGCTACTATCTAACAGGTGAATTGGTTTACTCAAGATACATATACCTCCAGCAGCATCATTTTTGTTTGGAGAGGTGAGCAGTTCCACGGTTTATTACAGGCCAGGCCTTTTGGTCCCCAGAATGACCGACTCTGCTGCCCAACGCACACTTTCTCTGCATTCCAAGTCCCCACTCGCTGGCTGGGTGGAAAAACACGCCTCTTGGTATTCCACGGTGGATAACTGGGCTTCTCTCTTCGCAGGACAGAACGCCCCGGCGGGCAGCCTTCCCAGCCTTAAGTCGGGGAACGCCTAGGGAAAGGCGCTTTTGCCCGGGTGCCGCAGGCTTCTGACGGGTCAGGCCTGGGCGCGCGGCCGCCGAGGGGGAGGTGCCCGCGCCGCGCGGCGGGAACTCGAGGCCCCATTGGCCGCGCTGGGAGGCGCCTCGGGGCCTCGTGCGCCAACCGTCCCGGGTCCGCGGCGGCCGGGCGCCGGCAGGAGCGGACAGGGCGAGGCGAAGGCCCGGGGGGGAATCGAGAACGGGGAGGAAGAGCTAGGCTCGGCGGGGGGGCGAGGCCCGGGCCCGGCGGGGCGATGGAAGAGGCGCTGCTCTCCACCCCCATCAACCCCAACAACTTCCCCGCCAAACTGTGGCGGCTGGTGAACAGCCCGCGCTACCGCTCCATCCGCTGGGACGGCCGCGGCGAGGGACTGCTCATCGACCAGCCGCTCTTCGAGGCCGAGCTGCTCAGCCCGCCCGGGCCGGGGGGCGGCGGCGGCGCCGCGGGGGCCGGGGCCGGGGCCGAGCCCGAGCTCTTCAAAACCACCAACTTCACCAGCTTCATCCGCCAGCTCAACCTCTACGGCTTCCGCAAGGTGGTGCTGGGCGGGCCGGGTGCCGCAGGGCCGGGGCCGGGGCCGGGGGGCGGCGGGCCGGCGGGGGACGGGCCCCTCCACCACTTCCACAGCCCGCACTTCCGCCGCGACCAGCCGCAGCTGCTCGTGCACCTCAAGCGCCTGACCAGCGCCAACAAGGCCAAGCTGGCGGCCGGCCTGGAGGTGCCCTGCCGCCCGCCCAACCGCTTCCAGCGGCTGCTCATCACCTCGGCCTCGGCCTCGGCCTCTGCCTCTGCCGCCTCGGCCGCCGCCCCGACCCCGCTGCAGCACCAGGAGCCGCCGCCGCCGCCCGCGGGGTCCCGGCCCGAGCCGCACGGTGAGTCCGGGCTGCCTGCGCCTTCGCCTACGGCGGGCACATGGGTGGCGGGTAGCAACCGCCGCTCGAGGGCGCATTTTCGCACGTCCTCCCTTGGGGGCGTGTGAAAGGCGCCTGGGACCCACTGTCCGCTGTGCTCCCCTGGGACTGGAGGTCCCGCCACCGCCACCGTTCTCAGCAGCACCAGCACCGTGGCCTCTGGCCCTCCCCTGGAGGGTCTGTAAGCATTTAGCCCCTTCTGAGCCCACTGGCAGCAAAAGGGACCTCCGACTTAGGCTCCCTTCTTCTACTGGTCCCCAGTTTGAATCCCAGAAGTTTACCTACTTCTAAGCCTCCGTTTACCTTCCTGAGACCCACACTGTCTACTGTAAACATCTAGAATAAGTAGTCCTTTGTTAAAACATTGGGTCTGGAAGAAACACAGAAGGCGCTCCTTTGCTCCAGTGGGAAGCAGAGTGGGTTAAGGTGAGAGGGAATAAAATCAGTCAAGAGAACTTAGAACATTGCAATAGCAACCAAGGGAAAGTTTTGGAAAAGGTGCCTGGGGTGGAAATTTGTCCTTGAAGAGGGCTGCCACCTTCCACCTGTTGGCACATATAAGAAATCTTGGAAGAAGCGTTACAATAATCAGATTTAAGGTTCTGAGTAATGTGTAGAATGGTAGACATTGTTTATATACCTTAAGAGCAAAAATACAATGGTACATTGTCCCTTACAAGATGTAGTTCCTATGTAGAATGAATTGGCTACACGTTTCTTTTTCTTTTTGAAACGCGGTCTCGCTCTGTCATCAGGCTGGAGTGCAGTGCCGCGATCTCGGCTCAGTGCAACCTCCGCCTCCCGGGTTCAAGCGATTCTCCTGCCTCAGCCTCCTGAGTAGCTGGGGCTGCAGACGCAACACCACGCCCGGCTAATTTTTGTGTTTTTAGTAGAGATGGGGTTTCACCACGTTGGCCAGGATGGTCTCTATCTCTTGATCTCATGATTCGCCTGCCTCGGCCTCCCAAAGTGTTGGGATTACAGGTGTGAGCCACTGCACCTGGCCAAATTATTTTATAGACTTGTTTTTTGTTTGTTTGTTTTGTTTTGAGATAGGGTCTCACTCTGTCTCCCAGGCTGGAGTGCAGTGGCAGGATCTTGGCTTACTGCAACCTCTGCCTCCCAGGCTCAAGGGCTCCTCCCATCTCAGCCTCTGGAGTAGCTGGGACTACAGGCATGGCTATCACACCCAGCTAATTTTTTGTATTTTTGGTGGAGACATGGTTTCAGCCTGTTGCCCAGGCTGGTCTGGAACTCCTGAGCTCAAGCAATCTGCCAACTTTGGCCTCTGGAAGTGCTGGGATTACAGGTGTGAGCCACCACCGTGCCAGGCTTGATTTTTGATGTTCTTCCCCTTCTTTCAGGAAGGCAAGGGAAGCAATATTCCATTTATCTGTTTAAAGAGTCCATGATATGAAGGAGTATACCAAGAAACCAACAGGATATAATAAGAATTCATTCTTCACCTTCAACTAGGAGAGTAATAGATACATTCTCAGCATGTTAATGTGGATTTATTGTAAAGAAATCTGGGTTATTTTGGGGTTAATGGAAAAGTTTAAGTATACAAATAAAATAACACTATGTTTAACTTAACCTTTGCCCAGGGTTAGGAATGACAATAGTACTTGGCTCATTTGGAATTTAGAAGATAAAGAACTAGGTTATGTGTCCACTGTGGAGTTTAGAAGATAAGGGACTAGGTTAAAGTTCCAATAATAAGTTGAAAAAGCAGCAGTGGCCTAAGAATGTGCTTGAGGAATATTAGGCCACTTCCATGTGATGGCCACTGATTTTGACAGGAAATGGTAGGGAGCAAGGCAATGGAGACAATACCATGGCATACATTTGGTAGAATCTCTTGACATGGATTTTTTTTTTTTTCCAGGTTGCGTGTCTGGTGGGTATAAGGAGAAAAGACTAGAAAATACGGTTTTGGGAGAAATGGGATCACCACTTCAAACAAAGAAACATACATGCATACACACATAAAAACCAACTTCTCGTCTCTGATCTTTTCCCTCACCTATCTTAAACCCAGCTGTATTTTAAGGATGGAGTCCACTTTAATTGAAGAAATTCAGGGCTATCTGGAATCTGATTTTATTCACTTAAAGTTCAGTTGGTCAGCATTTTAAAGATTAGTATTTGTTGAAAAACATAAATTATGCTTTTTCAGTATAGGTTATATGTCAGTCCATATATAACTAGTCAAGTTAATTGCTAGTCAAGTTATTGTTTTCATGACTTTCCTGTTTGGTGTTTTTTTTTTTTTTTCTTTTTTACCATTCTACCTGTTGGTGTGTGCAGAAGGTATGTCAGTTGTGGACTGTCTACACCATAGGCTTGGTTCACTAGGGAACTGTGTTACTGGTTCAGGTGGAATGTAATTGGATGTAGGTTCAAGAATACTGGAACTTGAATAATTGAACAAAGTTGTTCAAGAATACACTTTGTTTTGTTCTCATTCCATGTTCTGTGTCCTTGGCTCTTCTATTTATCCTCATCTAATTTTTCTTCTTCTTAAATCTTGCCTTGGTTATGTGCCTGACTACACTGCTACTGCTTAGTTTCCATGTTTTATGTGTTCTATTTCAGTATATGGGTTGAATACTTCTCTCTCTCTCTCTATTCTATAATAGAATCCTCTGTTTTAGGACCTAGTTCTTTTATTTAGAGCCACTGAACCAACTGTACCGTTCACCTTCCAAGAGTATACTTGGTAAGAAACGTGAGATTGCATGTTTTTCCTCTGTTTGTGCACTTTTGTTATTTTGTTTTTAGAGGCAGTTATTTTAACATGTTTGTTAAGACATTCTAAACTAAGTAACAGGTATGAGAAGCAGATAATCTGTTTTTTCTTGGGGATACCATGCTCTCAAGAGGGAAGTTTTTGGACTCTTTCCTGACAATTGATTAGTTCAGATGCATTTCCATAAAATAAATAGAACTTTTTTCGGGGGACAGTCTCTCTCTGTCACCAGGCTGGAATGCCGTGGCGCGATCCTGGCTCACTGCAAACTCTACCTTCTGCATTCAAGCAATTCTTCTGCCTTAGCTGACAATACAGGT